TAGATTATAATCGACTAGTTAGATAGAAGAATCAAGTAGTAGAAGGTTAATTTAGATAGTCTACTATGTCCGGTGATTCTTTATGAGCAAGCGATGCTACGCAGGTTAGGTAGAGAGGAAGGAAGATTAATTGATCTTCTTTCTTTAATTGAATAGGAAGGATAAAATCAATTCGGCTTAGAATCATAAAGATAAGATGAGAGAAGAGTGAGGTAGGACTGAAGCTTGGTTGATTGTATTGAATCTCCTGATCTATATGATTGATGATTGACATGATTTTTGTAGAGAAAACAGGGCGTATATATAATCAATATTTTATATAAACTTATCAAACTTATTTTCTGCATATGATCAATCCAGATAGATCTAGATATATTCTAGATACATAGTGATCTTATGTAGTAGCTGTTTGATTTGTGGTTGCTTGATTGTATGATGTTATTGACCGTAGTAATGATGTAGATCGTACACTGTTGTATACGTCTTACTTGATTGTATTATGTCATTGACTATACGTCATTGACTGTACGTCATTGACTGTACTGATGATGATATAGCATAAAGCTTATTGAGATTCAGCTATCTTGTATAGGCCTTATAAATCTAGCTTGATATGCTCCATGACGGTTTAGGCATCAGGCATCTTGCCCTATATCTTATACCCCCCCCCGTAATCTTTATACTATAGTGCAAATAGCAGTAGAGTATAGAGATTAGTGTAGAGTAGATAGGATCGATATATATATATACTGCTATAAAATAGCTAGATATATATCTTCCTAAATCTCACGGAGGTTAGCTAGATTCTTTAGGTCTTCAAATATTTCTCTTCTGACATTTTTAGTCAGGAAATCTGCTAATTGCAGTGTAGTAGGGACGTATTGAATATCGACCCTTTTTTGTTTGACCTGATCTCTGATATAGTGATATTGTATATCAATATGCTTCGTCCTTTTGTGAAATTCAGGATTTTCGGCTAGCTTAATAGCCGCCTTATTATCCACTAATATAGTATAATAGCTTCTTATAGAGCTTCTTGCTTCTTATAGAGCTTCTTGAATGGCTTCTTATAGAGCTTCTTGCTTCTTATAGAGCTTCTTGAATGGCTTCTTATAGAGCTTCTTGAATAGCTTCTTATAGAGCTTCTTGAATGGCTTCTTATAGAGCTTCTTGCTTCTTATAGAGCTTCTTGAATGGCTTCTTATAGAGCTTCTTGCTTCTTATAGAGCTTCTTGCTTCTTATAGAGCTTCTTGCTTCTTATAGAGCTTCTTGCTTCTTATAGAGCTTCTTGCTTCTTATAGAGCTTCTTGCTTCTTATAGAGTTTCTTGAATAGCTTCTTATAGAGCTTCTTGCTTCTTATATTCGCTATACGAATTGATCTTGTATTGGCTATGCGAATTGATCTTGTATTAGCTACGCGAATTAATCTTGCATTAGCTACGCGAATTAATCTTGCATTAGCTATACGAATTGTTCTGCATTAGCCATGCGAATTGTTCTTGTATTAGCTATGTGAATTGTTCTACGTATTAGCTATGCGAATTGATCTTGCATTAGCTATGCGAATTGATCTTGCATTAGCTATGCGAATTGATGAGATACGACCGGTAGAAATTCTGATTAGTAAGATTTCTTATAATTATAAGGTAGATTAGAAGACTTTCCAAACCGAATTAAAGCTGATTCGGGCTCATAACCTGTGAGCAAGCGGTGCTGCACAGGTTAGGTAGAGAGGAAGGAAGATTAATTGATCTTCTTTCTTTAATTGAATAGGAAGGATAAAATCAATTCGGCTTAGAATCATAAAGATAAGATGAGAGAAGAGTGAGGTAGGACTAAAGCTTGGTTGATTGTATTGAATCTGCTGATCTGTATGATTGATGATTGACATGATTTTTGTAGAGAAAACAGGGCGTATATATAATCAATATTTTATGCAAACTTATCAAACTTATTTTCTGCATGTGATCAATCCAGATAGATCTAGATATATTCTAGATGTATGGTGATCTTATACAGATAGATCTAGATGCATAGTGATCTCATGAATGATCTTATGCGGATAGATCTAGATACATAGTGATCTCATGCAGTAGCTGTTTGATTTGTGGTTGCTTGATTGTATGATGTCATTGACCGTAGTGATAATGTAGATCGTGCACTGTTGTATACGTCTTACTTGATTGTATCATGTCATTGACTATACGTCATTGACTGTACGTCATTGACTGTACTGATGATGATATAGCATAAAGCTTATTGAGATTCAGCCATCTTGTATAGGCCTTATGAATCTAGCTTGATATGCTGCATGACGGTTTAGGCATCAGGCATCTTGCCCTATATCTCACATTCTTCCTAGGATAAAAAAGATATTAAACTTGTTCATTCTAACTAGGAAACAGAGTGCATAACATAAGGAACATAGCAAATATCACATAAGGAAATCAAGAACATTCGAGGTTATTTTGGAGTGTTGAACATTCCTTTGCCTAGTCGGGCAATGTTGACACGATCGTTGAAGATCAGAATCTAGGATCAGAATCTAGGGGTAAACAAGATTGGGTTTTCCTAGCGGTAAGCAAGATAGGAATACTTAGTAAGCAGGCAGGATTCAAGATACATATCTGGCCCATAGGCCATACATGCCGACAGGTTACTACGATCGAATTAATCTACGTAGATAGCTATTCGTTACTACTATACGTTATCTTTAAGGGCAAGGTTTACTAAGCTAGCTAGTTTAAAAATCTACCGAAAGATTAGCGATTCGAGGTCTCTAATAATAGTGGGACTACCGATAAGATTAGCCTACGCTAGTTATAAAAGCTCTTTATCCCGTTAATAAACTCGCGCGTACGCGGCTAATTTCGCTTATTAATCCTTAACGGTTATAGTAGCTACCTTACGCCCTAATTCGACCGAATTTGCGTAGAAAACGATATTATACCTCTTTATATACCTACGTATACTTCGTATCTACTATAACTACTAGATATTAGCTGCTTTACGGTAGTAAAGAGGGTATATAGCCGTTTCGTTAGCGATCGTGCGCGTATAGGATATAACTATATCGACAAGTACGATTTCTTAGAGAATTACTAATACGCGCAGCTAGAGGCCTTCTAAAAGCTAGCTATTATTTAGAATAGCTTCGTAGCTAGTAGCCTAGTACCAGTCGATATAGAAAGAGTGCTTTTAAAGCTTAATATCTCTCTACGAACGCCTATACTACTAAGTAGCCGGCCAAGTAGTAGATCTAGCTAATTCACACTAAAAACGCCTAGAACCGTCGTTTAGCTACAAAAGCAAGCTTCGTTACTAAAAGATCTACTATATCGGCGGTCAAAGATCCCTCCGAGCCCAATCAACAACGTAGTAGATTAGATTATCAAGGGTGCTTATTTATCCTTATATAGCGCCGTATTACTTACGCAAGATAATACGAATCTCCGCGCAGCGAATGAGAGAATCGTCAAGAAACGCAATCGGCCGAATAGGAAGATACCCTACGAAGAGGGTTTAACCGTCGAAGAGGGCCTACAGCTAGTCGAACAGCTAAACCAGCCGGTAGAAGCTGATGGGGTAGTATCGCATGCGCAGGGCGAATTGCCTAGTCAGCAGGATCAGCCACGCAGGAGGGCTCCACCTACCTGTAGTGGATGTGGAGGAATTGGCCACAGGATTACTTCATGTAAAAATCGTATTATCTAGTTAAATTAATGGGTGTTGGTTGAGAGAATCGATTTTGAAATTTTCTAATGGGGTAGGTGGCCAGGGTAAGCGGGTGGCCAGGGTAAGCGGGAATTACGTTAGATAGATCGAGATATATAGTGATTTTATATAGTAGCCGTTTGATATATAGTTACTTGATTATACGATGTAATTTAATCGTAATAATAATATAGATCCTATAACTATGATACGTCTTTTCATGCCTGATTATCCGATTAGACAATAATGATATAATAGTATAAAGCTTATAGAGATTCAGAACATCGTTCTAGCCTTTATATAGACCTTATGAATCTGGCTTGATATACTAGCCTGATGGCTTAGGTATCTTGCCTAATATCTGACACTTACCTTATATTATAAATTCAACCTTATTTCCTATCTAAATTAAATAAGTTTAATATCTCTTGAAATTATAGGTAGAACTCCTAGGTATACTTAACAATCTAAATTAACCTTCTACTACTTGATTCTTCTATCTAATTAGCCGATCTTGCTCTATCCTGATTAGTTACTCTTCTATAGTCGTGGTACTACGATTAGTACGCACGATGTATCTATATTACGGTCTTATATACTAGATGAATATCTAATAAGTAATTTACCGTAGATAAGTCTACTAGACAACGGCGTATATATATAGTAATCTAGCGATCTAAGGAGCTAATAGCGGCCCTAGTAGATAATTTAATACTAGCCACGGTAGAGGATTTAGTACCGGTAGAGGATTTAATACTAGCTATAGTAGCCCCTATAGCCTTAGTATCCTTAGTAGCCTTGGTAGTACTAATAGAGGATTTAATACTATCTATAGTAGAGGATTTAGCCCTAGTAACCTTAAGTTAGCTAGTAGTTCGGTTAAAGAGACAGCTATAGGCTTCTCTAGTTCGCTATAGCTAGCAGAGGGTACGTAAGAAGATATAGGCAAGAGTACTAAAGGGAAGGAGGGTTTAGTAGGTAGTTAGTTGAAATCGTATATAATTTGTATATAATCTAGATCATATTAAAAATCGATTTAAATCGTATAAGAGATAGGCCATCAAAATCGTGGGCCCTTACTGCCTAAACTAGAATTCCTTCCGGTTGAATTTAGTAGTAAGTAGCCTAATATTTCAGGGTTTCAGGCAGCAATATTGCCTAATCGAGAATTCTGCCGTTGTAATTCATAAGAAACGCCATTTGCACTTTTCGGCCACTATCGGCCTCCGTAAGGGATCGCCGCGCCGGGTCTTGGCGACGCTTGTCGAGATGGCAGAGCTCGCGATGCTGCCGCCGACGCCAAGTAAGAGTCGATACTTTGGCCGCTCGGCTAATATCAATTCGGTGATTCCCCCGTTGAACTCTGGTAAGTTGAGTCTATTGGCCACTTTGAACGATGAAAATCATAACTCTGAAGAGTCCGAGTGGCCCTCCGAGGATGAGACACTTGCCGGTAATGACTCACCGATCAAGTCTCGCTATTTCGGCCAGCGTGGCAATGATAAAGTAAACGAGAAGCCATTGGTGTCTCGCCTGATCCTGTAGGGGCGAGGTTCATCTGTGCTTAGCGATGACGAAAATGGTGGAACTGTGAGCAAATGAATTGTGGATTTTTGGTTTTCGAAGACATCGTTAGTCTGTTTTGTAGATGAATAGATCACGCAAACGATATCAAATTGAAATACCTGTGCTGTGGTAGATATACATAGCGTCACGTCGAGCCTACTGAGAAGACTTTGCACCGGGAAGCGAGCAGCCTACGAGAAGTATCTGTTTAGAGAGACCCCCAGCGATCTCTTACATTGTTTGAACATGGTCAGAAGCATGACAAGTATTACCCTTCGGAATTGTTGGATCGACGAGTTCAGTGTCGTGTAGTCCGTGGGTCAGGACAGGATTCTCAGGTTCAAGACCTTAACAGTACTGCTAGATTATGTAGATCACTGCAAACGTAGGTATAACTAGAAGGCCGTAGAGTTATATAATCCGTGTCCTTTGTCTTTTTATCTTGGTATTCAGCCTCAACGTCAAGAATGTGGCGCAGTCGAACTATATTGCACTAAAGAACAAAGTTGGCAGAACCACCCTTGTCCGAGTAATATGCCATCCTATACCAAGGTGTCTCGCAATACCAAACCACCGGACCAGTAGTGAAATATCGACAACCTTGGATAAAGGACGCAATGTGACTACTCAACTGTGCGTCTCTATCAGTTGACTTTTTAATAGACTCAGCCGTAGCCTCAAATGCTCCCATTGATTCTCTTATGATCGCCATGATGTCGCGTGTCACCTTCTCAAGACCTAGTGACTCATGTCGATCATTCCAATATAACACAGTAACAATATTCAAAACAGATCCTTCCGCCTAGGCGATTAGTTAGTATGTGAAGATATTTTTTAGATTCCAGATCCTTACAATCCCTTTCTGGACAGAAAATAAATCGTTAAGAATATAGCTAAGGGCTAAGGGTGGTAAACTCATTCTATAGCGATTGTATAGCCGCACTATCAATTATAGCTTCTAGAAGCCTGAACTTGAGTATAAAGCTGAAGTAATTAGCATGCTTTGTATATATCAATTGAGGGGGTATCTAGACCTACTCTATCGGAAGAATGAAGGCACGGTACGTAATAGATCTAAAGCGAACACGTATATATTCTTCTATTAAAGGGATGGTCCCTCTCAAGCGGAAACTATATTTGACCTCGACGTAGTCGATATAGTCTACTAGTTCGTCATAGAAGCGCTCTCGCTAGGTCCTATCTATACTACCAAGCAACCTTCGACTTATCTTACTGAACAAAACCATATTCGGATGTATCTGGTCAATCGTAATTTCGGTTTCTTGAATAGCTTTATCGTTACTACTATTCGCTGAAAGGCCTAGCTGTTATCGGATATATTTCAGAGATTGCTGAGAATAAGCACGATCCCTTTTAGCATCCGAAGAAATAAGAGTATTGTTTATATCATTTTTATCGTCCCACACAAAGATCCAAATCAAGAATGTAGTCATCATCTCAAGCTCAGGCGAATCTAAATAAGGATATCAGCTAGAATAATAGTCAATAGGAGAAGGTCTAGTGTATAATGAATCTTATCGCGCAACTAGGCTACCTATATCTGATTCTTTTAGGACCTTCAACTTCTTCTAGCGGGAAGTGTGTTTCTCTAGAGTTATGTCGGTATAGCTCTATACGGTATTATAATGAATGTTTCTTGTAGCTGGCTAATCCGAGAAAACCTTCTATATCGCTGGGATATGGAATTCTCTCCCGTGTAACTAGTCAGCTAAAGTCAAAGCATCGCCGTATAGCGAATTCCCGGAAGTAGCCTGTCCATGAGAACAATCATCACGTGCTATGGTTCTAGCTGGCGTAGAATGAGTTGGGTTATGATCGTCAATGTTTTGCTAGGCGTTGGAGGGCCAATGAAAAAGCTGTTGATTGTTCCCGATGTAACCAGGGCATGCCATTGTTTATATATCGTTGAGAACATCATAAGCTCAGGCAAGCAAGCTATGTCGTAGCCAAGTTTGAGGCGTTTTTACATTGTAGATCGCTGCATGTATACCCGAGATGACCAACGCCCTATCCAAGAAGTACGTTGGACACTGCATACCTAGGGAGACATTTAGGAGGCAATGCGGGTAGATCTAGACTTCGCCATAACTCGCAATTGAGGCCAACCCTTGGCCCCAAACCGCAACTACACCTGCGGTTTTTCGTGGGGCCTGTTGGGCCTTCAAAAGACCACCGAATCCCCAACTTTTGCATCATTATACATAAAATGACCTTCTCCACATCAAGCGTAGGTCGGTGCATTTCCCAATACTGTACCTCCTCCCCCCCCCCCCCCCCCCCCAGCCTCTGATAAGAAATTATTTCACCCTTCTTTATATAGACTACTACTATACCTTCACTTCATTTCGAGCCGTCTGACTGTACTAGAAGAATCGGTGCTCACATTCATTCGGAGAATGTTCCTTTTCATAGAGCTCGGTAGGTGAACGCCTGATTGATCTTTCCCAAGATATAAATGTACAGTAAACAAGATAAACCCCGCTCCGTAAACACAACCAACAAAGGAAGTTCCAATGAACGTTACCCATAGCTTCCTCCCTCACCTAGTTTCTCCTTCCCCTGCAGTAGGTTGGTTGATTAGTATCATTTACCCTGGACCCTCGCCCTGAAAAGCGATATACAGCCATAACTGTATATATATATCTCTGTGTACGTAGATGTAGAGTGTTCCACTTCCTGAAAAACATAGAGCCTCGTCTAAAGGTTAGAGGGGGACAAAAGTCCTAGGGAGCGCCCGAGTTCGCTATGTTAGAGCCCATTAGTCGGGTACAGGAGAGTATAAGTCCCTATACCCGCATTTTACGTAGTAGTGCACGCTCCACGGCGTTTAGAGAGGGTATTATAGTTCAGAGATACGTATCCGAGGGTTTAAGCCTATTCTGGGGAGCCTAGGGAGCCTTTTCATAAAGGTATGGATCTAAGTGGTGTGATAGATAGGTACTAATACTAAAGAAAATATACGTAGTCCCTATAACTCGACAAATCAAATATTCATACGTGATGGATGCAAGAACAAGAGAGATTGTTAATGATAGACCAATAACATATGTCTGGGCATTAATAACGAGAACGTAGAACTTAAGCTAGGAAGACTCTTTAATAGAATAAGATTGAAGTATTTTTGATAGGAGTAATAATTCCCTGGGCTTGAGATTTAGACCCTGGAATTGCTAGTGGTACGATACGGCACGATACGGCACCCAGGTTTACGTAATGTACCCATCGGTCTGTAACTAATCTTCTGATCTGTCCTCCGTAATCTGATCCGCGATCCGACCTTCGGCCCACTCCGTATTTTCGCAAGACGCTTGACGAGACCACGGTTTTAGCTCAGAGCCTCTGATTAGCTCTCTTGTGGGTTTTGGCATTAGGCGATTTCAACGGAGTAATCAGCAAGTCTTAGACATAACATTTTTCTGGTCTAATAAATTGCACTATCTCTTCCGACGCGAGAAGGAGACGTGGTGCACATTAAAAAAAAAAAAATTACCGTACGCGTTCAGACCCTTCGAGGCTAAAAGCGTCTCTCCCTATTTGCTGGCTGCAGTATTCATGCACTGTCGATCTGGGGCCTTTGATGGATACAATGCCCTCATCTAGTAGTACTGTAGTCAACAACCCTATCTTGACCAGGTAGCATTTAAGACTTCTTTCCTCACAGCAAACCGGCCAGGATGCTTGTCCAGCCCGTGTGTTCGCCTTTTACTCCGGGCGCAAATCGAGAGCTTGCTACTATCATCTTAGAGGCAGTCAGGACGACCTCTCTGGAGATTATTGTCTGCGAAATAAATTATTCTTTAATTCTAACTGGTTGAGTTGATCCCGATCGGGGTGTACTGTTTTCGCAGGAGGTACTACTATCTCTGCATGTTCTGTATAGTATGTATCCTTTTAACTTTACCTGGAGACAAAAGAATGTGGCAAAATCAGATAACAAATTTGGCCGAATCCCTGCCCGAATCGGGCGTTCCAACCCGCTTTTTCTCCATTTCCCGACTGCCGTAAATTTCAACCGGTCGACCCTTTTCCCCCCCTCGATGACTATGAATGACTACAACTTCTTCGCCTCTTCCACTCCCCCCCCCGGTCAATCCGAGAGCTTCAATCTCGATTCATATTCCCGGGTCTCCTTTTAAACACCTAAAAAGAATTCGCAACCCCCCTCCCCTTCAGCTCCCAGTACCTACCGACCTTGGCCCTCGACTCTCTTTTCCCACCGGCACTTCCCGACTCTTCCCTTTCCTCCATCACCCGAGCCTCCCAACAAGAGCCCACCGGGCCTCCTTCATTCTTCATCGACTCTCCCATGGGTAATTATATTATTGCTACCGAAAATTGCTCCATACGATCTTACCAAACCCCCGACTCACTCACCGCCGCCTATCTCAACAGTCCACGCCGTCAATTCGATCATGCCGTCGACGACCATCGCCTCATCGGAGTCTCACCCCCGCAAAGGCACCTTCCCAGAAATCCCGGTGTCGTCAACTTCACATCCTGACAATCCAATCCCCGAAGAGCCGCGAGGCGTGCGATCGCTTTCAGTCACCGATACCACCTTCAATGGCTCCCCCACCTCTCAAGAAACCGACTCGGTCGGCTCTGACTCCTCCGACTCGCCAATCACCCCACCGAGTGACACCGGGACCGAGGAAGAGCTCGCTAGCAAACCGAAAGGCCGCCCACGTCGGGCTTCGACCATTCTGATCTCCCAGAACTCAGAGGATATGCGACGGGTCTTGGAGAATGTGGGCACAAGCGGGACCCAAAAAATTCAGTCCATGTGTTGTGGTGGGGGATGTTGCCGCGGTCGACCATTGCAGCCGTTGGACGGGCCGATCTCCGGGTTCAACTCGATCACGGCGCCGGAGAATACAGCCTTCGCCAGTCTGGAGTTAAACTTGGATCTGCTCACTCTAGACAGTCATTTGTCTAACATTGCCCCGCTCCCAGAGAAAACCGTCTCGTTCAAACCGGCCCCCGCATACACTACCGATGTTCCACTGGGCTCCGTGGATCACCCTCCGCAATATGTGCAACCACATCCCCCTTATGAGGTGTATCGGGCTCCTCTCCATCATGCCCGGGAGTTGACCAAGGGGGGCGCGGAGAAGCGCACATATCACTTCGACATTGATGTCACCGATTACCCTGCCGAGAGTGGAATGGTGGATTTCGTCGTTGGTGGGGCCATTGGAGTTTGCCCGAAGAATAAGGATGAGGAGGTGGAGGATATCCTCAATTTGCTGGGAGTTCCAAAGTCAATGCGCGATAGAAAGGTGTGCATGCGGACGACCAAGGGTCGCTGGCCGACCATCTGGGGCGACGATAAGCCGCGAGAGCTGATCACCACCCGGCGCGAAGTTCTTAGCTGGTGCTCGGATATTCAAAGTTATCCCCCAACGAAGCCCTTGTTCCGCCTCTTGGCCGAGTACACGGCCGAGCAGAATGAGAAGAAAATCCTTGAGTATCTGTCCTCAGCCCAGGGCCAAGGCGCGTTTTGCGATCTTCGGACAACCTCCCACATCAGCTTGTCCCAGCTCCTCCACGCCTTCCCCTCCTCCCGGCCTCCACTCGACCATCTCCTCTCTGTGCTGAATACTCTCATGCCACGCTTCTATTCACTCTCTCAGGACCCCTTGATTTCGTGCCACCTCAAGGGCAACGAATGCCGCCGACTGATTGAAGTCGCCGTCACCGTTGCCGAATCTGAAGACTGGCGCAGTGGGAAACGCACCGGGGTAAGCTCCGGCTATCTAGAGCGACTTGCGCAACGAGCGATCCAGGCCGAAGCCACAGGCGAGAAACATGAGCTTTATATTCCTATGTTCCGCGGTTTGATGGCGAACCCTTTGGCAAAGCGCTTTGCCTCGGACGGACCTATGCTTCTGATCGGAGCTGGTGTCGGTATTGCTCCATTCCGTGGGTTCGTTCAGCGTCGTCTGCAGTCTGCCAACTGTGCCAACAAGGTCTGGGTCCTCCAGGGTGTACGTGATTCTCTGTTGGATGAGTTATACAGCGGCGAGTGGGGCGTACATGAGGATAAGGTCCGCACCGTGGTCCAAAGCCGCCGTGGCGAAAGTCGCTATGTCCAGGAAGAAGTGCGCCACCAGGCAGATCTGGTCTGGTACGTAATCAATGCGCTGGACGGTCGTGTATTTGTCTGCGGCAGCGGGAAGGGCATGGGCGAGGGAGTGGAGGCTGCTCTCGTCGAAGTTGCCGTGGCTAAAGGCAACTTGAATGCCAAAGAGGCAGAGCTGTTCTGGCAGCGGAAGAAGGAGGCAGGTCAATATATTGCGGTAAGTGGAATTCTCCTCCTAAACTGGCACTACTCACTTGTCAGGGGAAGCAAGTTCTGACACAATACCAGGAAACTTGGTAAGGCAAGAAAACAAAAAAGTCCGGGTCCGGCGTGTCGGCCATTTCGCCTTACCCTTTTGCACAGACCAATGGCACTGGGCATCATAACGCCCCGGCTACCACATTTGATTGTATATATTCTTCTGCATTGTGTACAGTTTCATTTGCCTGTTCTATGATGCTTGTCTGCTGGGCCCCTTGCGCGGAAGGCTTGGTTGGATCCTTGAAGGTATTATTTGACTTATGCATCCAGTCAAGTGACCTATCATCTCATGAGCTTTCATTTTTTACTTTGATGTCTTTTAGCGAGGTGGCTCTGTTGTTTTCGTTTCGTCAGTCATTTTATGCTGCGCGGATTTTGGTTTGAGAGGATTTCTAGGCGTTAGATCTTTCTAGTTCCTCTTTCTCATCTTTTTAATTGGGATATTCAACTTTACTTGACCGGTCTTAGATATAGACTATTGAATTCAAATAAAGATTCTTCCTAGCTGGCTGTGTGACTGGTGCTACCTACTATAAACTGAACTTTAGACCTACATTGTGGTCATCTTGAGTTTGACGATTAGGTTTATTATTTTCTCTCTTTTGTTGAGAGAGGAAAGATGGTGAGTATACTATCCATCGGGACTATAAACAGTATATTCTGCCAGTCTACCTGGACATCTGTTATGATTTCGTTAGGCAAAAGGCAGGATGGCACTATATGTTGAACTATTATTTAGTAATCTGGATGATTACTAAGAGGCAAGATGGCCGAGTTGGTCTATGGCGCACGGTTCAGGTTGACCTGATCCAAACTTCCGTGTCTCGAAAGGGGCGTGGGTTCGAATCCCACTCTTGTCACTAAGTATCTTCTTTTTGGACTAAATTTTTGCTCCCAGCAGCTCAACAAACAGACGCTAGCTAATTCGGACAATACAAGCTTCCGGACCTTTGTACTAATAGACATTCGAACTAGTTACAGTGCCCACCATCTATTTATTCAAGTGGGCCGTGTATACTAACCGTGTTAGACCTTAGCTGTTCCGTCATAGGGGTAATGAAAAATCGAGAAATTCCGATTGCTAGATCTTTAGGCGTTTTAAGCTGGTAGGTATATGTCGCCATCTTTCAATAGCGGCGGGATCTCCCCTTGAACAATTAGATGGTGGGCACTCTAGATTTCTCATTCTCGGTTTAACAGGACGCCTGAAGCCCATATATCTAACACGCTCTCTCATTGTACTTCATAACCACGCTCTCTTTCTTCTCCTACATGTGGCCCTTGGGTGTGGGTTATGCTATGTAAGAGATACGGAAGTCAACTACGACTTTTAATATGTCAATTGTACCGAGTTCTGATTGTCGTTGATGAGGAGCAGCAGGGGTATTCCTGATGAACACAGATCGACACGGACATGCAGCCTGCAGCCTCCGACCAGCATAACTATGTGAGAATCATTATGACCTGAGATACGTGTGTACGTTTGTGTATATTTAGATTAGCCTCGATGACTGACATACCCCTGGATGGTATGCAATCTCCATTGACGACGCTATCGATGACTCTCCGAGATAACATGGATGAATCTTGTCCCATTAGGCCTTGTATAGATATGATTTGAAAAGCAGAACCTAGTACTCTATTCATGTAGTCGACAGGTCAGTAAGTAAGAGAGACATTTTGTTAACACGGCTCTTGATATGCTGACCAACGATTCAGTTGGACGTATCTGAGCTGCTTCCCGTGAATTGATTTCCAGGTACCTATAATGGGAAGCATCCTAACCATCCGTAATCCTCACAAATCTAGAATAGACGACCGTAAGTAGATTGAGAGGTTCATGACAATAAGTGTCATCCACCGAATACCAAGACATATTGGACATATCGACATCCTCTGGATATACACGAGCACACACGACAGGTAAGTTACATCCTCAACTTATGAGTGAGTAGCAATCCGAGTCTCCAGGGTATCATAGCTTCAATAGAGGCCTAAGCCCGGCTATTTCAAAAATCATAGCCCCCATTAAATCCCGCACCTGTTGATAGAAAACTTCCATCGAACTTGTATAGGTTCCCTCTCTCGTTCATTACCTCACCTGCGAAGCCCAGGATTATCGTGACGACTTTTCGGAGGCGCTTCTTGCAATTACCCCAGATCCGGTCTGACCGGGCCGGCTCCGAGAATCTGGAGACGGCTGGCCATGAGTCAAATAATGGTTTAGAGAGGTCGCTATAAATTCTCGAGCTTGGACGTAAACACCTTGGAGTTCTCAGCAGGAAATCGATCACACCAGCAATTGATACCTGATTCACTCTGGGCTATCTTGCGTCTTCTCCATTAATAACGTGATCGAATCGGCGATAGTGTCAACGGGCGATATCGGGCGGTCTGGTTGTTTCCAATATTGCCCCCCCTCCGATAAGTTGTCAAAGTGGGGGATTTGCCAACATCAAGAAACTCCAACACCCAAACATCCAAGCCCACCATCGTCACTCACGTAACAATGCCTTCCCTTCAAGAAAGCAAGCTCGCCTTCATTGGTGGAGGCAACATGGCCTCTGCTATTATCGGTGGCCTGGTTAGCAAGGGCGTCAACAAGCAAAACATCTGTGTCTCAGAGCCCTGGGACGTCAACCGGGACAAGCTTGCCGCGGTCGGCGTGCGGACAACCACTGTCAACTCCGAGGCGGGTGCAGATGCAGATATCGTCATCATCGCCGTCAAGCCCCAGGTCACCAAGGGCGTGTGTGAGGAGCTCGGGGCTTCTTGGACGCAGCGTCAGACACTCCCCGTCGTTGTCAGCATCGCAGCGGGTATCACCCTCAACAGTCTACAGGAATGGTCTCGGACCAGCGATGGCCGGTCTGCACATGTCGTCCGCGTGATGCCTAACACTCCGGCATTGGTGGGCGAGGGTGCCTCAGGCGCTTTTGCAAGTCTGGATGTGACTGCCGCAGAGAAGGATCTGGTCAACTCTCTGCTGAGCAGTGTTAGCAAGGCCACCGAGTGGGTGGATAAGGAAGAGCTTCTGGATGTCGTGACTGGCTTGTCTGGTACGTGTATCTGACCGCAATGCCCGAAACATGAATTACTCGGATCTAATATCTAATTAGGCTCTGGCCCTGCTTATTTCTTCGCCATGGTTGAGCATCTCGTTGCCAGCGCCACTTCTTTGGGCCTCTCCCAAGAACAGGCTACTCGTCTAGCCACGCAAACCTGTCTCGGTGCCGGTAAGATGCTCGTCGAGTCTTCGGATGAGCCCGGCCAGCTGCGCAAGAATGTCACCAGCCCCAATGGCACCACATATGCTGCCCTCCAGACGTTCGAGGCCCTTGGATTCAAAGAGATCGTCGACCAGGCTGTCAAGGCTGCCACTTCCCGGGCCGCTGAGTTGGGTAACACACTTGCGAAGTAGTCGTTATCATGTTTCATGGTGAATTTGAGCGAGATGGGTCATTGGAAAATCTACTCTGTGTATGCTAGTCCCGAGATTAGAAAAGGAAAAAAGTCTCCCACAAAATTAGAATGTGGGCATATTAGAAGGCTTTCACCCTACTTCGGGCTGGAAGCAAACAATAAATAAGACAATTCTTACCTTCTTCCCCTTGGCTTGCGAGCTGTTATGATACACCGTTGACAGCATGGGATACATCCCACACGCCGAGAGAGGTGATATAATCACCCAGTAAGAGAGAGCGAGAGAGAGAGATGTTTAGAATATAGTAAGTAGGGTGCTTATGTTGGGGGCCATGTTTGTCGTAACGAATACTCAGGCAGACATACAGGAGGACCCAAGTAAGCGAAAGAAGCCTATATTTCCTTTTTGCGGTTCATGTTTCCTGAACCCTGGCGAGGCGGATTTGGCGACAGCCCAGATAGTTACACAGATACATCTATAATCAAAGAGAAATGTGGAGGGCCGGATCTCTATTGTTGATAAATGAAAAGGAAAGAAAGTGAGCGACAGAGTAATTGGGTAGCAAATTATGTGTTCAACATCAACTACTACATCAGACATGCGTGTATTAGAGCAATCAGGCTATTGTCAATGACTCTTGGAGGAGACTCATGTCCTAATGTCCATGTCTATTGGGGAGGTAACAGAGCAAGACAGTGGTCTTCCAGCCATGGTTAAATGAATTAGCTGACGTGACAGACGGTCATTGATGGGCCCGACCCATGAATATGATTTACCTAGGTCAAATTTCTACCCCTGCCTCCAAGTCCTATTATGGATTTCCTTTGATTGGAAATGATATTACTAGCTTTATCACACGCCTGACATTAAGAATAAAGATCTAAATACATAAGTACATACTTAGTGATCCCCTATCCCCTAACTCGTATACTGGATGCTATTTCTACCAAAAGACAAACGAGGTATTGAAGGTGAGAGGAAATGGCCGTATATATGAAACAGTGCCAGTCCTGACACGAGTTCACACCTCTCGCGACCTGTCATGATATATAGGCGGATAGTATCTTCTCGTGCTATTTTAAATATCTATATCCGTACCGCATTAGACTACGAGCTTGGACAAACAGTGCGGTCTGATTGGAGGCTGAAGCTGAAGCAAAGTTGTTTGTGATTAGTGGACAGGGATCATGGCAGGAGTCGAAGAGAATCCCTAATCCTACCTTAGCCTCGAGAAGCCATGCCGAGGTCGACACTCCTTACATAGTGGGTTGTAAGATTATCTATGGACTGGACTAGTACATAAAAGCCTTACTATATCCTATACCATAATATACCACGAAAGAGTCTAGAGTGATATTGGCGAAGAGACGGACAAGGTTCATCTGGACAGATCCTTAGATCATCGTCATATTTCCCGGAAACCAGGAGGCTGGGACGCTGGATACGTCTTGGCTTGAACTCAAAGAGTGACAGGCGACCAGGCGAAGCCGGCCCATCCAAGGACAGATTTCCTTGCATTCGCATTTGTTGCCCTGCAGGGGCAACTCCCCCCCCACATACCAAATTCATCCACAAGGTGACCGGATCGATCCAGCCTCGATTTGGATCTCGCCTTAGCAAGGTCGAAATCACATCCACATGCGTGAGATTCCAGAAAGTGAACCACAGGAAAGAAGTACCAATGAAGTTCGGCGACCGACGTCACGCATACATAATCGTTTGATCATGAATGGCTGTAACGAAAGGTTTGTGATTGTAACTTTATGTATTTTGGCTGCCCCAGCTCGGATTGGGAAGGACCCTCTTCGCTAGCATCACTTGGCTGGATCTCATTTACCCAGTGACATGTTGACAGAATTGACAGCAGCGATAAGTGGCATTCACGTCACATATGGCCCAGGGCCGGAAATAAGGTTCTTTCCCGCCGGGGTTGGAGCGGCCGCGTAGACGCCCAATAATATTCTCAAAAAGGCCAAAAAGGGGGAAGAACTGCGATCGCCCATACCCGATTACCGGGATAGCTGGGTTACACGATGACAAATTCCTGCATGGTGGATTGCAATGCAGTCGATATTCTGATTTTTATTTTTTATTGTTTTTTAAAAAGAAATTGGTATTACTCTCGTGGCTATCGAGTAATTCCCCCGTCGTCCGTTCTCCGGAAGCAAACCCCCCCCCAGTTCCATTATTATCATAGACCGCGTAAATCTCAGTGCAAGATCCGATGATCTGCATCTTGGCACCTTGTGAGCCACCGAGCACGATCTCAAATTCCATGAATGATGGATCGTTGTGGTATGAAGATCCCGCTAATTCCATTGGTATGGAAATGAGTCGAAGTAAATCTTTGATTTTTACCGCGCCTAGATGTGCCTCAAGGTGACTAGGGGACAAGAAGAAACCAGTCTATTGGCGGAGAAGTTCAGTCTTAAATGTGAGAATTACTTTTTGTTGTCAACTTCATTTCGAAGATTTTGGCCCCCTGTTTCCCCACTCTTTGCTTTCCTCCGCATGTACGGAGTACTACCTCGCTCCAAGTAAATCCCTGGGTCATACGGTATGACTCTCTAATCTGCAAATAAGAAGAACTACAAGGAGCGGGGGAGGGAGAGAAGAAAAATGGAAGTCAGATAACATGATTTTGTGTACAGCAAGGGGATTCTGCTTGGACTTGAAATTGCATAGGAAAGCAGATCTGATGTGTTTTATTTTTCTTTCAACTTGGATATGTCTTTGCCCTTGAATGACGGGCAAATCATGAAAGCCCCAGCTTATCAGACCCGAAGCGTCCACGAGTTTGAACCCTCAAATTCCACAGTGGATATCATTGATTAGTGTTGTACTGCCCATAGTCGGGTTTTGATCTCATTATTAGAATACCAGAACACATCCACACAGCAAGGTAGGGGTTTGGCGGAGTGAATTGGCCCGATTGAATCGATCGAGGAGGATCTCAGCCACTGACTGCATGCCACTCCATTGATCGTGGCGTCCCTAGAACCGAGAGGCCTAAACCCGGGGGCTGATTGCCATCTTTAGCGACGACAAACATGCCGGGACGGGGTCACCCAAACCTAGAACTAGATCTAGTGAGCTTATAGCGCCGGGATGCGAGTATGTCGTGCGGAGAGCGTCCGAGAGTCCGCCCGACAAACCAGAACGCCAAAAATTTGAATCCAAGTCGATGCTAGGTCGGTGTCACCGCATATTTTGGAGAGCGGCGTGACGAGTGTCACATTAATGAGCTTAACACAAATGCTTCCAACCGTCGTTAAACCGAAAGTTCGACAATGTGACAATGGCCAGGTGGTGGGGTCTTCGTTGGCCCTACCATTGTCTCATCTGTACTTGGTACAGTATTCTGTCAAGTGTCGATCACTGAAGATACTCAGGAACCCCAGATTCAGAAATACAGTTGTATGCAATTCGGGTGGAAACAACCACCTCTATCTCACGGTCCAATACCCATCTAGGAAAGTGGGCTTAACCCCAGTGTTCTACTATTCGGGCGTGATTGGACGGGACATGGACTCGTGGATGGTAGTGCCATGGATTCGATACCGCCCCCATCCTAGCCCTGACAGTTTTTTTTTTCTTTTTTTTGTCACGAAGACTTCACCTTGGGCCTATGTATGCCCATCTCTGTTGCTTTATCTCAATCCCTCCGTCACTGGCCAGTGGTATGCACGGAGTGCGGTAAGTGCGCAGTATGCCAGTGTAGAGTGGTATCAGTATGTATTTCAAAAACTACTTTGGAGAGACTCACGAAGCATGAGAGCCCCACTCACTCAGGAGGATCTCCGATTGCCTTTTTTTGGGTCACCCTCATTCCCGTTCACTCCAAATCTTGCCATGTATGAAGTATCCTAAATACTGTAACTACGCTGTGCCGAAAGCCCGAGGAGACCTTGACGTCTCTTCTTGCAGCACGTGTGTTTACTCTCGGGAATAGGAATCATTGCTCTATTCACTACAGAGAATGAATCATGAGGATCCACTGATTCGACAAAGCCCATTCAATCAGCTTTGTCCAGTGCTGTCTTGTCTGTACTTGGTATGTACGGAAGTCATATCCCTGAGTAGCCAGTTAAAAGACGATCCACTGGAGAGGATCCACCTTGACGCCCAGCTGGACCTTCAGCGTGACTAGAAAGCAAGCTAGCGAGTCTAGCTAGTGTCGAGAGCTGAACCATGCCAACACACGGCTGGGGCAGATGTATGCGATGTGCGAGCCGCATGGCATAGCAGGCTTGGGAAAGAGGAGTGAGACTGTGCGAGCGAGCAAGAAATGATGGATTTAGTATGATCAAACATGAGAGAGAAGATAGATTATATGTCTTCCACACAGAGTACTCTAGGAGAAACGGAGATAATTATAATACCAACAATCATAATCATGCTGTTTTGCTAGGCTGTCGCTAACTACGAGACTACTTTTCCAAACACGCTTCTCTTGCCTTTCAGCCGAGGATAGAGTTGTCCTGGTGCCACTGCCATTAGATCCCGGACCCTCTCCACGTCAGTCGTGCTTCCCTCTCCCAAAGTCGAGGGAGGACTCCCACCCCTCGCTGACATCGATGCTGCTTGAGATATCATATGCATCAAACCACGTTCATCGACACAATTCAAGATCCTCTCTCCCCAGAACAACTAAGCATCCCAGCACTCCAGCTTATACCCACATATTTTGCTCATCTCCGCTGGATAGCCTGATACGATCGACTCCAAGCGAGGGAAAATTAGATGGGACTAAGAAAGCGCAACATCTCCATCAGGCTTTCGTGTCATGGATGGAGCCATGGCGGATTCTCCGTGTGGGTGATCTGACGTACGGAGCGCGCGACCGCGGTGTGGATCCGGGCCTCCTCTGCTACGCCACACGCTGGTTCATCTGGAAGCAAGTGGAGAAAGATTGAAGAAACCCCCTTCTACGTAACCACTCACCTTCGGCGATCGGTTCATCCCTGTCCGATCCTCCAGCGTCTTGGTTGGGCTGAACCTGATTGTTGGCCTCGAGATGTGCCAAGCCCATAACGCCACAGGATATCACATACTGTACATACTACACACAGTGTTACAGTATTCCACCTCCAAGAGGCCAGCCCCTCACCATGAGTATTCTTTTCGTGTCTGGTCGATCGATCTCCGTGCCCACACTGATCAGAGGCCCGCGACTGGGATCGAGCCGTGCATGTCCGTCATGTTATTCCCTGTCTGGCCCCCCCCCCCCCCCCCCCCCCCCGGGGCCTGTTATTCAGGTATGGGGGAGCATCTCCCTGCAGGCACTAGCCAACCGGCATAATTGACTCTTTGTTAATTAACAGTATGTCGGTACGCTGGTCAAGTGAAGTCCAGATCGTTCCCACCACATCTCTTGGGTTCCCCCCTCCCCACGCCAGGACAGTATCGTATCTGCAGGCTCATACTATAGTACGCTAGCTTCCCTTGTCTTCTCATCCTAGGGCTAATCCATTACAGTTGGATCATCGGCCCATGGTCTCTTGGTTCTCTCCGGGCCCTGGTACGACTTCGAACCCCTCGTATTATTAAACCCACCAGCCAGGACAAGCTCCTCGGGACTCCTCGCGATCGGGCTGGGAACCAGTCGCAGTGAGCCATGGCCCTTTCTGACACAATTTACGATGTGGGACGACCCAGCGAGGGCTTCCGGCGATCTTTTTTTTCCCTTCGACTCGGAGCCCGCTTTCTGGGTTGGCGATCCACCCTCATTCGTGAGATGGTTGGTTTGACTTTTTTCCCATACGTCGGAATCCTTCTCTTTTCAACCATCGCGACCGAGGAAAGTTCGAAGAGAGAGAGACTTGATCTGACTACTACAGTACGATCCCAAGACCCAAGTGTCAAATCCGACCCAGCGAATGCTTGGGACAGTCGAGGGAGCCTCCCTTTCTCTCCTTTGCCCCATGCGGAATTACGGACCCCACTACTGTAATAAATCATGATTCCATGTGTGGTTCGAGTGCAGTATTTGGATTAATTATTAACTTCAGCCTGACTCAGGTACTACTCCATCCATCTCCAATAATGCTAGAGTGCCGCCTCTCCACTTTTCATTTTCTTTTCATTTTTTTGCTTCCCTGGATTTTTCCCTGCCCGGCTTCCATCCTCCGTTTACAGTACAAAGTGCCCACGCTGCGGCTGTTGTTGCCGGCATCCCACTGCCTGCTGCTCCCCCTACTTTGCCTCATTTGTGCCCTGAGATTTTTGGTGCTTGATGTTTCGACTCTGGACGCACAATCAACATCTCTCTCTCTCGGGCCTTGCCGATGACTGTTTTCTTTCTTTCTTTTTTTTTTTTTTAAACGTGAAAGAACTATAGTCAATACAAACAAATGTATTAATAGTATTCGATTATCATAATTCTCTTTGGGACTCCTTTTCCAAACTGGGGATGTTGAATTTCTGAGATCGGATTTCCATCTGCCGCGGCTGAATGGAGATCTTCAGCTACTTGCCTTTTCTCCGGTCCGCCCAGTGCCTAACCCCATCCCCAAGTCAATAATCCTACCTTTTCAGGCGCCAATCCATCCATTCCAAGGTTGTGCCTGTGGATTAGTTTGAATCTGTCGAGGGAAAAACTGACGCTCCACTGAGGGTTTCCTTTCCACAGACACTATCTACATGGCATATTGCTAATCCTGATCCAGCATAAGTCAAGTCAAATTCTCTGTTCCAAAAGAGAATGATCACGTAATGATCCAAATATGAGACTGCAATAGACATTCAAGTCAAAAAAATATATATATAAAAAAAAGGAAATCAAAAAAAAAGCAGAACAGAACCAGGAACGACTTAGCGCGGAACCGAGGGGAAGGGGGAACAGTAGTTCTTGAGAGCCCGCCAATTTTTGATAGATCCTGGCGCTAAACCCGACGGCCGATTCCCAGGATGACAGGAACCAGATGAGAAGATCCTTGGCGCTATCTGTCAAAGGCCAACCTTATGGATGCTCCATACTCATAGGGTACCCTCCCCCCCCTCCTCTTCTCCGCTCTGCATGCCTCGAGGACACGGAGCGCTACTGCTGTGGCTCCGTAGTTTGTGGCTCCTGAAATGTCTCCACTTTCATGTCCACGATCGTCATTTTCTGGGACCCCCCCCCCTGTTCTTGCTTTTCCATGGACATGTACCAACTAGATCTTCGGATCATCTCGTTTTGAATCATCCTTTTGAATATATAATTATTATTTCATTTTGGGGTGGTGGGGGGCGGGGCATTTATTTATTAAATATTTTTATCTTTTTCTTTTGGGGGAGGGGAAATCAAATAAAAATGTACAAGGGCCCTAGGCGTAGCGTAGCACCAAGAACTCCCGAATATTAAGCTCCAGGATCAGCCGTGCCAGCTGCTGGGTCGACTCAATATTGGGACCGCATTATTCTTCTGACCATGGAATCCAGTTGTCTCCATCTCTGTTTCCTGGACCCAACTGAACTCTCAATTCATTTCTAGTCCAGTACAGTGTTCCCACTTCCCTCCGTCTGACCTGCCACTCCGTACGTCTAGACCCACCCAGACCCAGAAAGTGCCGACCTGGAAAGTCTCACAAAACGGACTACGGAACTGCACTAAAATACAAACTCCGATCGAGATTCGTGCCTCCAATTTTTGGTAAGTGCCCCATGACGTCGCCTCCAAACTCTCGTCGGAGGGTCAACCCCTTTTGACAGCGCTTAAACTTCAGTTTGTCCGCGGTTATGCCTAACGGAAAACATCTACCGATGCCCTTGATACGACCTGTGGTAAATTTTCCTAGGTGTCAGTAAAGGGGAATAATCACTGGTATTTTCACGATGCTCTTCTTTCTCATAACCAGACAGGCTCAAGATCCTTCTCTAATCTGGCACTACTGAGGTTACAACTGGTCCCTGGTTTACAGTAGGATACACCCTCTTCGAACGAACTGATCTTACAATTGAATTGTGTGTCTTGTCTCCGTTTGAGATCAACCCAGTTCCAAGACTTATGCCAGCCACGTGAACGCGAGGCTTAGGATTTTGACAATCTCCAAGATGATCGGCCGCCGCATGGAGAATTGTCGGGGGCTTTGAAGAATTAACTCGAGTAGCTTACGCTTGCTGAGCGATGGCGTGCGACCCAAGTGATGTGGAGAAATGGAAACTCAATGGATTAGGTGATCACCAACCCTGATACGCCGAGCCACACTTCGATCTCCATCTTTCTACAGTATCCACCTGTACTGAGACATATTGACTCCCGCGCGAGATTGTGGCTGCAGCCTCTAGGACAAGCCGGGAAGTCGCCGAAATTTCACAAAGTGGCATTATCTTTGGAACTAATCCTGTCAACTGCTCGATTCATACTGAAACAACACTTGGTGTTCTATATCTGGAATTATAGGTCCGGACGTCATGACAAAAACGACGACAGTTTCGTTCGGTCGCAGACTTCCGGGCCTGTTGCCGACCCGGAAGATCATCGAAGCACATACTATATGAACATCGGGTCCACCTAAAGCACACTAACTCCTAGGGAGGAGGGAAAACAAAGATGAAGATAGATGCAAAAGCAGAGGCAAGTGGATTTTGATGCCCAGATACAAGGAAAAGGCAACAGCATATTTTGGGCCTAACAGCTTCGTAGTTACGTAGTGAGAACATGCTATTGTACATACTGCAGTTACAACAGTGGCTAGCGCCCGGAATTATTGTATCCAGGACTACCCTCCTAACAGGCTAACAGACTACTTCCAAGGAAAAGGAATCCTAACGCGAAGGGCGATTATGGCATCGAATCATACAAAGCAGAAGTATACAACAATGCGACCGAACCCCTGTCTTCCCCAGCCCCGCGCCCGAGGGCAGCGGAGGGACATATACCTATCCGATGCATCATATAGCGGTGTATTCACAATTTCATACCATAACATTCCCGTGCACGATGGTGCGTCACAGTCGCTGCATAGTATCTGCGAGGAGCGGATGCGACGCCCACAATCTTCTAAGGACCTTGAACAGCCGGGAAAGTTGCTCGATTGGTGTTGTCACATGTGAGGTATCTGATGTCAGCGCCATTGCCCACATGAGATGATCGCGTGCAGATCGATGGCGTGGGTGTTCGCGAGAGCTGACTCTGAGAGGGGGTTCGTCGCAGAACCTTAACCAGTCCAATCAGGTCGCTAAGACACGAGGCTACTGTGAGCCTTTCCTCTTACATCGACGGAGTACGCGGAGAAAACTTGACATGTCGCGAACACCTCGCAGCGGCAGCGCCCCATCTCTGGCCTGTGCCCATAGATCCTATTTTTGGTGTCGATCCTCACGTCTTCTGTTAGTTTTGATGTAACTGTGCCCGTGCTTCATATTCCTTCCTTCCTCTTTCCATAGCCATTTTATACATTCCCTCTTGCCTCATTGTCACTGTGTGGCCAAGGGCCGTGGAGATTACTGGATTACTGTAGTTACACATTGAGGTTGTACTCACTGGGGTGCTGCGCGTGCCTTCATCAGTGACAAAGGTTCTGTCAAGTGTCAAAGCTTTAAATCTGCACTATTGAATCTTATAATGATCGGCCTACCTATTCTTCGAGTCAGGATCGACGCAGACCCACTGGTCTAAAAAGTAGTAAAATCAATAGTGTCAAGTGGTCTTCCCAGATTCGCATGGCTACGGAGCTCCCCGACCACGATCTTTCCTTCTGGAACCTTTGACCGAAGGATCGTAGTGAACCCACTTTTCATCTATTCTATTCTTTAGTCCCATCTTCAATTCACGTTGCTGCAATAATGTAGGTAGGAAAGAGGGTCTCAAGCGCGGAGCTTTCCCTATCGAGTTAGCTGCCGTGCTTGCCTCGGTTATGAGCTGTGGGCTCTTGTTGCACGGCGCTACGTAAGGTACCGGATTATCCGAGCTGCAAATATCGGAGAGTATGGGGATTTCTACCAGGCCGAATCTATGCCTTTTTCTAAGTATTGTTTCTAAGCTAGCCGAGGTTGGCCTCCCCTTATCTGGGTGCATATCCGACAAGCCACAGATCTTTGGGACAGCTT